CTCCATATGTAAATCCTATTTAAGGCTGCGGAGGGAGTTAATCAGGGTCAGTTCTTCACTGAATCCCCACCCAAGATGACTGCTAAAAACACCTAAGACTGCACTGTGGAAGAGCTGGACCCAGGCTAGAAGGTATCTGGCCTGTGAAGGGACTATCTGGAGTTCTAAGCTGCAAGCAAAAGAAGTTTGTCTTCAAGAATCTCTGCAACCTGCTTCAAACAACATTTAGGGTGAGAAATTACTACTTGTAGCCAGTTTAATCATAGAATATCAGGGTTGGAAGGGACCTCAGGAGGTCATCTAGTCCAACCCCCTGCTCAAAGCAGGACCAATCTCCAGTTTTTGCCCCAGATCCCTAAATGGCCCCCTCAAGGATTGAACTCACAATCCTGGGTTTAGCAGGCTAATGCTCAAACCACTGAGCTATCCTGTGGACTTTGAATGTGTTTTTCTTTTACTGAAATTCCCATAGCTCTGGGGCTTTTCTGGTAAAGGAAGAGCAGCCTCATGTGCCCCAAAATATCATATACAAGAAAAACTGACCTAAATAGTATTTCTTCAAATAGACTTTCACTCCATGTGTCCTTCCTGACAGCAACCCTGTAGCCTCCGAGCCTTCATTTTCATCTGGTACTGATCAAAAGCAACATCAGCTATAGCTAACATGCAAAAAGTCATGCTCTGAGAGCATTGCTGCACATGACATGGCAGTGTAATAGGAGTCTGCTTCATTATATAATACCCATGTGAGCTTCCTCTTTGCTCGTGGGACGCTGAAAATTGACCCAGGTCACCTTCCATTTTTTCCAGCCTTCTGTCTTGTTCTCCAGAATCTGTAGCTTGCATGGTTGCAAAGAAAATTTTGAACATGTGACCCAAATGTAACCAATGCACAGCGTCTTCCTGAATTTGCACACAGCCGGAAGCATACCCGCGACGAGAGAAGTGAACTGCTCCATTTATCTCATGGAGGGTACTTACTCATCCCCAGTTAGGAGGATTTAAACATCAACATCATTAGGTATTGCACTGCTGATCAAAAGAGGCATGTAAGGAGATGGATGAGATGAGTAATAAGATCTGCACAATCTACTGCAAGTGCCAGCTCATTTTGGTGACTCTAGGGAGAATACGAACACACACGCCCCAGTCTGCCTCAAGGAACCAAAATGAAAGGGATCATCTGAGTCCCACCAAGGCGAAACCAAACCCACAGAGCCCAATAGTGCATCCAAGCCTCCCCACTGACCAGCTCACGCTATCTCCACAGCAATGGGAGCCTGGTCTGCTTGGGTGATGGGTGTGGAACCTGGTGGCTTCTTCCCTCGCTCCAGGAGATGCTGCACCTGTCTTTGGAGGCTGTGTGCTTCTTTAAGTATATTAAGCTAAGTTTGCATGTTAGCTTTATTTGCTCAGTGATCTAACTCAATCTGTTTGCTATCCCTTATAATCACTGAAAACCTATTCGTTGTAGTTAATAAACTTGTTTTTGTTTTCTATAAATCCAGTTTGTGCAACTCATAACCGGGGGGACAAAAGCGGGAGGGGCAAAAAGCTGTGCATATCTTCATCCACATTAAGGGAGGGAGCAAATTTCATGAGCTTACGCTATACAGTTTTCTGTGCAGCGCAAGACAATACAATTTTGGGTTTGCACTCCTGAGGGTGTGTGCACTTGAGTTGATCTCACTGTCTGTGTCTTTCTGCAGCTGGGTGTGTCCCTACCTGTGTGTGTGTGCTGGAGGAGGCTTGAGTGCCTGGCTCCGCAGGACAGGGTGAGGGAGCCCAGGCTGGTGGAATAGGCAGGCTCAGTGGTACCCCGAGTATATCAGGTGGCACCCACAAGTGGGGGGTAACGTGTCACACCCATGTCTATTATTTGGAGCCTATATCTATTTTTTGCCATGCTGCCATAACATTTGATACTACAATTTGGAAACACAGTTTGTTTCTTTTTAATAGAAGTCACAGTGATCAACATGTATAAAATGGATATATAGAAAGCGGTTTTCAATTATTTTGTACTACCCTTAAATAAGTAAGTCCTGTATACAAAATTATTACTACTGTAGAATTAATTTTAACCATTACTTGCCTACAATTTACAAGTCCTTTGAAAGCCATTGTGTCATTTTTTCCCCTTGGCATTTTCAACTAGAGCAAACATTTAGAGGTAAGAAAATCTAACCTACTAGCCATAATCTATTTATCTCCTAAAATATTTTGAGTCTGTAGAACAGTCCTTATAATTAATTATAGTTATAAAATTTTAATATAATAGCAGGAAAAATATAGCTTACAAACCTCCATAAATATCTAAATGTCAAAGGCACCATAACTCAGTATACAGTAGTTTCTACCTTATTAAAACATGTAATTTCATTTGCAATATATACATTTTAATATTACAAAGAACAATATTGTTTAACAATATACAACATTTCTACTTAATTTCTTTTTTCAGTCTATTTTTACTAATGAAAAACTAACTGTGGGGAAGATCATTATAATTAACATTAAGTGTCATCTGTATCCAGCTGGAGACTGCTAGTGGTGGTATTTATACTTTGCTGAAGAATAGAAAAGACTAATCTACAGGCATTCCAAATATTTTGGGAAGTGCTTAATAAATTAGCCAATATTTAAAGATTATATATTACAAAACTCTTGAATCGGCACCCCGTCCAAGAATACTGGGAAATATTATTAATATTAGTTAACGTTTATATGGCAGCAACGCCTCACAGCCTCAACCTGGTTAGGCCCCATTGTGCTACGCACCGTACACATATATATATAAAATGAGAGTCCCTGCTGCAAAGATATTAGTGTCTAAAAGAGAAGGCCTAACATAGAGAAGAGACAAACAAGCGGGTTGGGGTGTGGGCAGGCGAGATAGGCGAGACAGGGTAACAAAAATTATAGCATGTGCATTCCAGTGAATACTGTTACAGTGTACATTACTCCTTTTGAATGCCACATGTGTGCACCAATCTCTCTGTGACCACACAGCTCCAGGGAGGACTTTTCTCTTTTTTAACCTGGACCCTGTGTTAAGTCTCCTTAGTCAGAAACCAGTCCCAATGCAAGGAAGGGGTGGATGAGCAATGTGGTAGCAAGAGGTGGGGAACAGCAGACCTGGTACTTCTGTGAGTGTTCAGTGGATATAGAGGTTGGACACTATAGGGGAAAGCTTTAAGGGGACTGGGATACACCGAATGCCAGAGCCAATGGTCAAGCCAGAGTCAGGGTCAGCAGTTGGAGGCCAGGGTCAGAGCCAGGACTGGTAACTGATGACTGGGGGTGAAAGGCAGGAACTGGAAAAGAGGCAAGGATCAAGCATGGAGCAGGGGCATGATTGGAACAAAAGCAAAGGCAGGAGTGAGGCAGGAGGCAAGAGCCAGGAGCAAAGGAGGAAACAGGAACCGGGTTGGATGCAGGCGCAAGCAGGGTCCAATGCAGCCACAACAGGAAATCACCCTGTTGCTCAGACAAACTTCCTGTTACGCCTTCTGGATTAAATAGTGTGATTGGACCAATTGGTAGAGCAGGGCACTCCTCCAATCAAGGTTCCCGGAGGTGATGCCCTGGCTGAGGCTATAGTCCTACTAGCTTCTCAGCCCACCAGCTTTCAGCAGACATTGTGTGGAGGCCAGGATACAAGAGCTATCTGGGGACGTCCAGGCCTGGAGTCATAGACCCAGCACATCACAAACTAGTGTCTACCTATCTTGCATCCCCTGTTCAGCGCTCTTGGGGGCAGTGGTGTACATCTGCATTGCACTATGGCTCCAGGCAAGGGTGTGTTCATACAGGTTATACTGAGACACCATGGTGATGTTTAAACAGGACCAGTTTATTATTTATTTCTTTAAGATTAAGACACCTACACAAGAGCTCTAGGTGTCCTGGCATTTAGTCTTATAACACCATAATATGTCAAGCAGCCTTTTAAAAAAAATTCAAACAAGAACAAATTAACTCAACACAGCCAACATATCAATTATAATAAATCTTCTTTATTCCCCCTCTTCTTGAAACATTTTGCACTGAGCCCAAAACCCTAAAAAGACCACACCCTGGCAGGAAGAGGAAGAGTATGAGGTTGTCAGGAAGCGCAACTACATAGAGGCTGACGGGCTGCAACAAAAGTAAATAATGAACACACTACCCTGACTTTTCAAATCAGGCAGTAGCTGTGTTAAATTATTATCCTACTTCTTTAATAAATTTATCCTATAAAGTTCTGGAACATACTGTATTTACAAATCTATAATTACACTGAAGAAAATGTGTTATTGGGAAATATCCAACATGAGTCATGATTATTATTTATATTATGGTAGAACCTAGCGGCTCCGCTCAAGGACTAAGGCTTTATTGCACTAGGCGCTGAACAAATAAGTAACGAGAAGATAGTCTCTATGCCAGGCAGATCACCGTTTAGATTTAGAACAAAATGCAACATGCAAATGAAACAGAAAGATCAGGAGAAGGGGAGGAAACGATGACCATAAAACAAACATGTTTTGCATCACACTCAGTAGTCTCTGCTCAGCACCTGTTTAACCATGATCACCTTGGCAGTGTTTTGTGGGCATCATGAATACTCCAGTATTCCAGAGTGATACAATTGATTGAGACCATTTATGACTTTTCTCGGATTGTTGAGCATACGGGGGCAGATGTATATTACTCAGGCCTTTGTAAGATCAAAAACTTAATGTGAAACTCACTGCTCTAAATATAAAATACATAAATATGTATTGGCTGGTGTCTGGAATATGTGCAAAATAAAATTCAGATGTAACTTTGTGTGTTACAAAGGAGAGTGTTCTAGACTTAATACTATTTTTTATTTTTATAGCTATAGCCAGGGAAGGTGATACAAAAACAATTACTAAGATGTGGCCATGTATATTCTTGTTGATGCAGAACTTGTCTTTGGCTCTGTTTCCATGGAATTGGGTCAGTTGGTCTGTTCTATCACGCAGGGAAAAACAAAGTTCTGAAACCAGAAGATTGATGGGAGACGGGAAGAGTTTAAGTGCTGCGATTAGGAACTATGGGCAATGTCCTTATGAGGAAGATATGCAGATGGACAGCAATGATTTGCCCAGAATATAGCAAACAACCAAATATGGTGAGATTATGATTTTGTGATTCAGTTTACTACTGCATGCACTGAAACTGTGTGGTAGGGAACTTGGTAATGCTTTTGATCATGAGGTTTTACTGGTGCATTTGTGAACCCTAGTGGGAATCACTCTTAAATGATTCCATTCTTTCCTGTTTGAGAAATCCCAGAGTTGGTTTGGGTTATAACTCACATACATTCTCCTGAAGAGTTTCTCATGTGTAGTACCATAATGTTTTCTTTTGTTTCATCTCCTTTTTGACATATATAGAAGGTCATATGGACTATGTAATTGGCATGTAGATGTCACGCAGCTCTGTGACTGATTTTCATCATCTCTGAATGGAATAATGTCTTTGCTTTGTCAGGGTCTAGATGAGACTGTGATATGAATACTAGCCAGCTGACTGACGCTTAATCACTTGGGAAATAGGAAACAATGTAAACTTACATTTTAAAATGGGGAAGCAATATCATTGGGGTGAGGAAAGGTTGTCCAGGTACAGCAGGAATGAATCCCCATTTTTGAGGGAATTTGTTCTCCCCTTTAGTTCAAGTTGTTCACCCTCCAGCTTTTGGATCCCTGACTTCTTCTGGAGTCTCAGGTAGCAGCAGTAGCTGAAAGCATGATTTCCCATTTTCAACTAGCTGAGTATTTCTGATTGTTTCTCTCAGATCCAGTCCTTGAGTAATCTATGTATTTTGACCTCCACAATGGAATACCGCAATGCACTCTACTTGGGGCTACACCAAAAAACCACTAAGACAGTTCAGCTACTGTAGTGTGAGGCTGCCCACCAGGTTGGCAGTGTTAGTGACAGACAAGTGGTTACCCCAATTCTTTGCTAGCTATACTGTCTTCCTGTTGCTGATAGGTAGAATTCAAGATTTTGCTATATATAGCCCTTGGGTCATGGCTCTCTGACAAGCTACCTGTACCATCATAGCAACTGAGTTCAGCGAGGGACCTTGAGCTAAGAGTTCCCGGCCTAAATGAAATGAAGTTGGTGGTCAGCTATCCTCAGTGGAGAGTCATTGTTAATAAACAAACCTCAGCAAAAATTTTCTCCCTAATCTTACCTTTACTGTTCCTAGGGTTTCTCACACTGAATGTGAGAAAAGCTGCAATATGAGCTGCAGCAGACCAGGGGGCTCTTAAGAGCTATTAGTAGGGACCCTCTGAGGAAGAACACTGAGGAGTCCAGCAGCAGGTCCAGCAGCTCGGATGACTCTGAGGCAGAACGGCTCTGCAGATTGCCTAGAGACAACTAGAGACCAGGAGGATGGAAAAAAAGAAATCAGCCTTCAGCTCCCCTTGAATCATCAGTGTAGGAGGGCAGTAATTGCCCCTGGCGTCAGTGACAACCACCATAATTAGTTATAGACCTGGCTCGTCTCGACCACCAGAGACCCGCCATGAAATTAAAACATACACCCGCCAAGCAGGCTCGCGTCGTTGGGAAGGCCCTCGGCCCACTCAATCTGAACACAGCCCTGGATTGGTCAGAAAAGGTGAACTCCCTTCCTGGAATAGGGAAGGAAGATGTTTCTGCCATAGCCAGGGAGTGCATGTCCAGTGAGGAGTTCAGTGTGCTTCCCATTAACATCTAGGTGGCTGACACTGAATCCTCACTGGAATTGTTTGAGGGCATTCTAAGGTTTTACCACCCGCACCAGAACTTAATCGGCAGGTATTATTACGAGCGCCAGCAGCCTCATGAAAGGTGGGAAAAATACCTGAACTGAAAGGCTCTTATGCTGGCTAATGGGCACCCCGACTTGTAACACTCCCGAATTCTGGATTGACCCGAATCTTAAAGGTGGCTCTAGGGCCAGTAGACCACCTATCCACCTCCCTACAAGAGCTAGAAGAGAAACTTTAGGAGGCATACAAAGTCCAGTGGGAGACTTTCCCAGCCCCCGGAGCCAGGAAGGTGGCGGCAGTGGTCACCAACAAGAACCACCGAGGGAAGGAGTCTCCAAAAAGAAACCCCAAGCTTCAACAGAGAGACAAGAGACCTGCTGCTTATCAGAGCAAAAGCAGCCATTTGACAACTTCAACAAGGAAAAGCAGAGGTCATTTAGGAATACCCTCTGGAAAAAGCTGTTCCAGTACGAAACCAAAGAGCATTGACAGACTACCTACGGAGGAGCTGCTGCAGAGGCTGGCTTGTCACAAGAGGAATCAGCAGCAGCAGGAAAAAGCTCCAGATCTACTATGATGGGGCCAGGCTCCCCCTCCTTCCCCAGTAACAGCACCCTTGACCAATGATAAGTGGAGAAGACCTTCAATATCTGTGGTCATGGAGGGAGAGTTTGGACAGCTCCATCAGCAAATGTTAGTTGACAGGATGCTTCAGTGTCCATCTGGTGCACGGACGCTGAGCCAAGAGCTAAGATCCCCATACAAGGAACCAAGGTTTTAGAGGGCTTCAATATGGGTAAAAGTGTGGTCCCCTTCACCCAACCCGTCAATTGCAAAATATACTATATTCCACACTATAGCTGCTAAGGCTGCCTTTGGGCTCCAAGCCCTGAGAGGTCAAGGCATTTTAGGAATGGACCTGATTTCCAAGTTGAGCCTCACTGTAGACCTTCCCAATAGAAGGTTGGTCCAGGACAAAAACAGCAAGCGTCATGAGATCATACCAGCATCTCAGAGTGGCTACAGAAAAGGCACCAGAAGATCTGGAGATGCCAACGTGGGAAGAGGACATGGCCAAGGTTGCCCTCAAGCACCAGAAGGTATTTGCCAGGAACAAGTTGCAGTGCGGCAAGATAGCAGCGAGGTCAGAGTCAACAGACCTGACCCAAAGCTGCAGAAGCAATATAGATACCCTGTTGCTGCTGAGGAAGGCATCCAAAATACCAACAAGGCCTTGGTCAAACAGGGAGTGCTTTTGACAACAGAAAGCCGCTAGTCATGAAAGTGTATGGCAAGACTTGGCAATTAACAGTTGACTACAGGAAGCTTAACAAAGTGACACCTTGGTTAGCCCCTGTAGTGGCCAAGTTTAACAAGGTGATGGCTGCCCTCTCATCAGGGGTTAAATGGTTTTCTTTCTTTTCTATTCCCCTGCACTCCTCAGCATGGCATAAATTTGCCTTTACTTATAACAACAAGCAGTACACTTTCAGCCGGCTCCCACAGGGACTACATAATGTGCCGTCTATATGCCATCACCACTTCTCCAGTATTTGGAGCACCTTGAAGAACAGAAATCAAATCCTTAGCTACATGGACGACATCCTCATGGCAACTACCATGAAGGAGGAAAATCTCGAGATGCTAGACGCAGTCGCGGATCAGATCAAGAAAACAGGCTTCCTGATCAATTTGGTAAAGGCTCAGCTTGTGCAACCAGAAGTCAGCTATCTGGGAATGACAATTGGTAAAGAAGGCAAATGTCCAGATACTCAGCATGTCAACTTAATCTGTAAACTTCCAGTACCCCAAGATATCTCTGGATTAGGTCGTTCCTAGGACTCAAGGGGTTTTTGAGGGAATTTATAGAAGGGTATGTATGCTGAGATGGCCAGGCCACTGTATGTGCTATTAAAGAAGAACCAACAATGGAGGGTGAACGACAAGCAACTGAAGGCTTTCTGTGATCTAAAGCAGGCTGTCACCCAGGCACCAGCATTGGCTTACCCAAAACCCAACCAGCCATTCCACCTAATGCCGGCAACATCAGATAAGGGTATAAGCGCGGTGCTCCTACAAGATCAGGGATACAGCCTTTGACCTGTCACCTATGGGTCGAAGACTCTGAGTAAAGTTGAGAAGCAGTTTAACACTTGCGAGTGAGAGGTCCTAACCCTGGTGTGGTCACTTGGACACTGGGAATACCTATAGGTATGTCCTCAGTGATCCTTGAAACAGCTCATACCCCACTAAAATACATACTCTCAGGGTGCATCAAAGAAGGACATGTGTCAAGTCTTAGGCTGGCCAACTGGACACTGAGCCTCATCAACAGAAACCTGGAAGTACAAAAGACTCCCCGACTAGCCATCCTCCCATATGCTCTACTCACAGAGGGACAGGATCATGAGTGTCCGATCCCCAGTCTGGAAAGCAACTTACCCAAGTCGCCTTTTATTGTGGAAAGCAGTTATCAGGAAGCAAAAGAAAAGGGCCTGAAGATCTGGGCTGTGGATGGTGGCTGCTTCCACAAAAAGGGGAGCCCTCATGCAGGGTATGCTGCACTTCAGCCAGAGTGCCATCAAGTCCTGCAGAGAACGGTATGCCAGTTTTCAGCCCAGGCAGCTGAAGTGGTAGCGGTATTGGCTGTCCTATACGCAGAAGATCCTGAAGCCAATAACTGCGTGTGCTCAGACTCAGATTGGGTTATCTAGGCATTTAGAGTGGATGACATTCTGGATCCAGTGAAAGATGAAGTCACCAGACAGGCGGCCCATTGCGCACACAAAATATCTGTTGCACGCGTGGGAGCTGGCCACCAATAGACCAGGTGGCACCCACCTGCTCAAGGTGAGGGCCCATCACTGAGACTTTGCAGAAATCTGCAGCCTCAACAACAAGGTTGACTAGCTGGCCAAACAGGCGGCCTTGTTAGGGGACTTTGGGTCCACTCAGAGGAGAAGGTGGTGAAAATGGAACCTGAGACTGAGGATCTCTCTGGTCAGCTTGACATTAAGGGACTGCAGAAAAGAGATCAAGAAATCCAAGGTCTCTTAGGAAAGCAAGAGCACTGGAAGTACCAAATCTTCCAGGACAGATGGACAGAATGTCCTTGAAAAAGGACATACAACACCTGTTCTTCTGCTACCTACATGTTTACACCGAGAGATGGTTGGCTTAGTACATAGCAATGGCCACTTTGGCATAGACAAGACTATGAATCGAATAATGACTGTGGCCTGGTGGCCAAGCATCATGCAAGATGTAACTAAGTACATCTCTAGTTGCCTCAACTGTGCTAAAAACAACCCAGATGCCAAGGTCATCAAGAGCCTGATGCATCACCAACTTATCGGAGAGC